CGGATGGTCACCTTACCCGATGTCACTTCCTGGCCGTCTGCCCCGGAGTAGACGGTGTGGGAGCAGCGGGACAAGAAGAACCCCACCTCCTTGCACCAGTATTTCTGGTGCTGCTTCAGCTCCTCTTTGTAGGAACACTGAACGGACACACTGGCACCTTCGAATCCGCTGACCTCCTTCGGACCCGTCAGGGCTCCGGAGCCTGAAACCACAGCGGGGTCTCAACCAGATGGCCCCATGACCCAGAGGTAAGGCCACATGTCCTTGCTTCCGGGGCAGGCAGGCTGTCCTCACCCACCCCCTCCTGGGGAGTCTTGGGAGCGAGGACGCTGCCCCCTTTCTCTGGGAGACCCAGGGCCGCCGCTGTGGGCTGACACCTGGCTCTTCAGATCTGCTGGAGTTTGAATCTCATCTTTGTCACTTAGCTGGGTGACCTTGGGAAATCCCTTGATCTCTGAGTTTTCTCGTGGCTGGATGATGATCAGGATGATATTCAATTTTACCGAATTTAAGATGTCACCAAGGGAAAGATATGCCATTATTTTATGTCCCACTCAGAAAGGATACTTGATGGTTGCCAGGTGCAGAAACCTACAACCACAGCCACAAAAAGCCAACAGCAACAAGAAAAGCAGGCCCATGAATTGGGGGAAGGATGACGTTCTCTCTCTCCTCTCCCTGGGAGCATCTTCCGGTCTCCAGCCTCGGCACAGAGAAGGGGGAAAAGCCCCTTTCTCGGCTCGGGGGAGCTGGGGCTCCAGGACATGCTGTAGCGTCCCCATTCTCTGTGACCAAGGAGGGACAGACGGGAGGCCTTGCTCACCACCACACCAGCTTTGGGGACAGGAAATCCGGGTCCAGGAGACCCTCTGGGAGGGCTAGGGGTGGCCCCATCCTCCCCACAGCCCACCCCCATCTCACCTGGGAGCAGGAGGCAGCCCCCCAGCAGGAGGAGCAGCATGACAGGCTCTGGACGTGGCTCGGACGCCTCCTTTGGGGAAATGAGACTTTGCTCCCCACCCTGGCTGCCTTTAACTTCCTTCAGAGGCAGCCGGGCAGGGAGGGGCTGGGTGGGAGGCTCCTGGGCTCCTTTCTCTGCTGGCTCTCCTTCTCTGGTTTGACTCCTGGGGAACATTTCTCCCAGTCTCTCTCTCGGCCATTGAACCCTAGATGCTTGGGGTCTGTGAGGGAATTCAGAGAGTCTGTGCATTTAGACCAGAAGGGTGCACGCTCGGCTTTTACTTCTGTTGTGGGCGGGTGGATGAATAACCAGAATGAGCAGAGACTGAGTCCAGCTTTCAGAGGTTTCTTGGGTTCAAGCCCAGACTCAGCACTGAGGGACCACACCAGACTGCGAGTAC